GGCGTCGGTGTCCTTGTCCCAGTGCCTCCCGCCTGCCTCTGCCCTGCGCCCCGGAGTCCGGCTGCCAGCCTGAGGGGGTGTGGGTGCTCGCGTGTTGGGGTGTCCATGCCTTGCCCAGGTCGCCCTGACCCGAGCCTGAGTACGTGCGGGCCTTCTGCGCCCCTGACCCCCAAATCCTGAATGGGGTTTGGCTTCAGGCCGACTCTTAGGGCCCTTTGATGGGTCCGAGGTGTCTCCGGCCTCCGCCCCCTTCCACCACAGTCCCCCTCCCCGGTGTCCCCCCCCCCCTCCCATGGGCCCCGGAGCCCAGACAATGCTGTCACCGCCGAAGATGGAAAAATAATAATCATAATAATAAAGCAGAGCCTTTAACTCCTTCCCCGCCGGCCTCGGCCTCTGCGCAGGACCCAGCCCCGCCCCCAACAACCCCAGGGCCCTAACGTCTCTCCCCCATCCCAAGGATAAGCCTGTATCATCACCTTGGGAGAAGAGGGGGGACGGTGGAGCAAACCAGAGGAGCCCCGTTCCTACTCCTGATCCTCAACGCCAACCCTCCCCCCATCACCCAAGGTCAGGCTGGGTAAGTCCAGCCTCAGGCACCCCATCAGAGTAGCATCCGTGCCTGAGACTGGGTCAGTCTCCCCACCACCACCAGGTGGGGAAACTGAGGCCTACGAATGGCTCAAGGTCATTAAGGAGACTGTTGGACCCTGCCCCTGACCTCAGCCCCCATTGTTCATGGGAGGGGTGTGTGTGTGTGTGTGTGCAGGGGGTTCTCTCCCCCAAGGAGACCAGGTTTTCAACAGGGCGTCCTGCCATGACAGGGCCAGGGCCTGGGAACGAGCATTCCTACCCCTCTTCCCTGTCCCCCTTCTTTGGTCTTGGATGAAGGCGCAGGACTGCAGGCTGGGAAAAGGTCTACTCCCCACAGGAAGTCTCAAAGGTCTCCCTCACAGCCACACACACCCTTGCCAAAAACACATCACCAAATCAGACCAGGCCTTGGGGGCAGGGAGACACCACAGGGTTCTGGTGACCAGAGCCATGCCCTGTGGGTACTTGGAGGTGGAGGCTTGCACATAGACAAGAGGTTGAGGTTCCCTCCCAGGGAGCTGTTGCCAAGCCCCTGCTCCTCTAGGAAGAGTCTGGAAGCCACTTGCCTGACTGCAGTTATCAGCATGTGGGTACCCCCACCGCGGCGGGCTCCCCCTGGGACTGTCTTCTGCTGGCCCGCTGCTGACTTGATTTGCCCTGTAGACATTACAGTGCCCTGCCTGGCACCACGATCAGTTTAGGGACCGGACAGGACAGACCACCTACCCCGGCCATTCCTGAGCTGGCTGAGGGTGGGCGTCCACGCACCTCCTCCCACCGGCAGTGGCCCAGCAAACCCTGCAGGGAGCAGCAGCCGCTTCTGCCCAGGGAAGAGCGGGGCTGTGTCCTCCCGCCACCGATTGCAAGGAATTTGGGATGAGACAGAGAGAAGCTGGGGCCTGGGTCACAGCAAGCGGAGCAGGCTAGGCGGCAGGCAGGATTTCCAGACATGTGGAGGCATGTGCGGTGACTCCACAAATAGATTTGTCCCCACAGATGACACATGCATGTGTTTAGGGACCCTGGCCGGGGGCCACCTGGAGGCTGGTCAGCAGCTTCTGGCCATTTCGCTCAGTGCTGGGTCAAGGAGAATGAGCTCACCTGGTCGGGCCGCTCCCAGCAAGACTCCTAGCCCGAGGGTGCTCTCCTAGTGGCCCCCACCCTCAGGGGCCAGAACAAGGGAGAGGGGATGGGTTCCCCACCTATGGCTGGATGGCTAGAGGAGGGCACCAGCCCGGGGCCAGCATGCCCTTCTTCTCGGCCTAAGCCAAGCCATAGGCCCAGTGAACCCAGAGATGAGCCCAACACCTTCAGCAAAGCCAATGAAGCCTCAGAAAATGGGGTCCGAATCTGAGGCCTTGCCTCCACAATGGGGAGCTGGCCCAGACACAGGCTCTGCTTGGGTTGGGGGGAGATGACCTAGGAGAGGTTTAGAACGAACTCTGGCTACTGGCTGGCCACTCTGCCTGCTAGTGCCCCCTGGAGGCCACACATTGACCTGATGCGCCAAGTACAGTCCTAATTTTACAGGTGAGGAAACCAAGGCTCGGAGGGGTGTACGCTTGCCCAGAGTTTTCTAGAGACCTTTTTCTGGAACTGAAGCCTGGGGTCCTTCCAGGTTGTGACCGGTCACAACCATGGTCTCCTCGCTGGTTTCTTCTGTCCACTTGGACAGCTCTCCTGCCCATCCCCCAGTGCTTGGGGCAGAGCTGAGTATCTTCCCCATCGCTGCAGTCCCTGCACCCCCCCAAACGGGATCCCTCTACCCTGACAGAGAGTGGCTTGTCAGGCACTGGGTCACACCCTGATCCTACCATCCTGAGGCCTCAGACAAGTCACTTGACCGCAGTGAGCCTCCATCAGTAAAATGAAAGCGATGATAAGAGGCATCTCCCAGCATGGCTGTGACACTCCAAGGTGAGCACACCGTGGCGCAAGGCCAAGCCACCAGGGCACCTGGTCAGCAGGGACGGGAGTGATATACCAGGAGCTCAGCACTCAGGCCAGGTAAAGGCAGGGACATTCACCCTGGGGCCCCCGGCACTCCGGCCTTTCCCTTCTCTTTGTTTCTGGGGTGCTTTGTGACCCAAAGGGGATGGGGAGCAGAATCCCAAGTCCTTAAAGACTGAGCTACCAGGTTCATCTGCTGAGAATGACCTGGGCCTGGCCTCACCATGCCCTGTGCTAGCCCCTGCCCCTGGGAAAGCATTCACTCTCCAGCATCACCCAGGGGCCGCTGGGAGAACTAGAAAATCTCATAGGGGCCAGGACAGCTGGCTTTGGACCCCCTGCATCCCAATATTTTCCCTGAACCAAGGAAGGTCTTAGGTTTCCCGGCAGCATGGAGTCTAGGCGATAGGAGTGTGGCCCAGGGCCGTGTTCAGCAATTCAGGGCTGCCAGGGGCCATCTCCCAGGCCCCTTTCCAACCTTGCTTCTTGCAACCTTGGTGCACTTTATAAATATTTGCTTTCTCTGGACACTGGCTGGGCTGGGAGGGAAGAATTTCTGAGGTTCTCTGACACTGCCCCCTCCTTCCTGCTGTCCCTGTGACTCTCCTGGCCTGAAGAGACTGGCTAGATCTACCCTGAGTTTCCAGCCGAGCAGAGCTCCCCTGAGGCCTTAGGAGCTGGTGCTCTGACTTGCCCCTTCCCTAGGGAAAAGGCCAGCCCTCAGTGCCATCCTGCACATGGAGGGGAAGGGGCCCACTGGGGCCAAGGACGGGGGCTCTGCTGGGCCAGGGTAACCCTTCAAAGAACAAGCCCCCCCCTCCACCCCAGGCCCTTGGCCAAAGCTGAGATTTCATCAGGCCCTGCGGCCATGGGGAAAGTGCATTGGCCAGAAAAGCCCCTTAATCAGACTGGACAACTCGGTCGCCAGGAGCTGGACCTCCCTACTGGGAAACCCCCTCCCAATGTGGAGCCTTGGGCCAGGCTGGGATAAAGGCCACACTGTTTCCCTGGAGGGGAGGGGAGTGGGGGGTGGAGAAAGGTGGCTCTGTTGGCCACACAAGGCCCCATTCAGCCTGGGGCCTGGTTGTCCTAGGCAGGCTGGCCAGGCCCTGCAGCAGCCTGGGAGCCACTGCCTCGGGCCTGAGAGATGGCTAGCCTGCCAGCAGCAGCTTCCAAGCCCACCTCAGACCTGAGCCCACACAGTGGCCTCCACTGTGGCAGCAGGTCAGTGCCCACCTTCCTAGGTAGCATGCCTGAGGAACATGGTGCCCTTCGTTGAGCTCAGCCAAGATCCCCGGCAGGAAGCCCAGAGGAGACAGGAACTGCTGTCCACTGAGGGAGCACAGGGGCCCCATGGCCACAGCTGCACACAGTTGGGTGGGCTTCCTGACATCAGGGGGCGAGAGGGCTAGGCAGAGACACCTGTTACCAGGGCCCACCCATCCGCCTGGCTGGTGCTGCCATGGGTGCCCTCCTCCCTCACCACGCAGGAGCCTCCTCTCTGGACACAAGGCCATCTCAGAAAACTGCCCAGGATCTGGGCAGCAGGAAGGAGCAGGGTGGGGAGGGGGCGGGCAGAGCCCTGGGCGGCCCCTCCACACAGTGTTTCCTTCCTCTCCTTCTCCCTGACAGAGCTCCTACCCTATCTGGGAGGACTTCAACTCGAAGGCCACAAAGCTGCACTCCCAGCTGAGGTGAGGCTGCCCGGGTCCCCCTCCCTCCTCCCCCTGGGAAGCGGGGAGCAGAGGAGGACCCTGAACCTGTTGACCATCTGCCCGCCCTGCTGTCCATCTCCCTAGGACCACCGTGCTGGCTGCTGTGGCCTTCCTAGATGCCTTCCAGAAAGTGGCCGACATGGCCACCAACACCCGAGGTGGGGAGGGGTGTGGCTGGGCATGGAGGCCGCAAGGGCTGGGGGGGGAGAACATCAGACCCCGGGGTCCAGATCTTAGGACGGAATTGGATGGCTGTGGCAGGAGTGAGCCCTGCGGTGCCAAAGGCGCGCAGCATGTGGGGCAGGGGTGGGTGAGGGGTGACAGGGCTGTTACCCCGGATTCCCTTCTTACTGCGGGAAGCTCAGCTGACCCCGCAACCACACTGGCTCCAACCCTGGGGACTCAGCAGTAACTCTGCCCTCTGGGCCCCCATTCCTTCCAGCAGCCATACACAGCTCGGGGGCGTGTGCACACAGTCTCTCCAGCGCAGGGACCCCTGGAATGGGGGCTGCCCCCACGGGAATAGAGGAGAATTTTGCTGGCCCCTTGGGCCGGCGGTGGGGCTCCCCGATCGCGGAAGGAAGGGGCGCCTCCTAGGCACCTGCAGCCGCAGGGTGGGGGGAGGGCCGGGGAGGGCCGGTCCTGCGCAGCGGAGGAGCGCCCCGGGCCGCGGGACTGCGGGGAATGTGGGCGGGTCGCAGCGTCTGCGTGGCCAGCTCGCCCCCTGGTGGCCCGAGGCCGGAACTGCAGGGGCCCGCGTGGGGCTCCTTCCCACGGCCGCGCGCTTCCTCGCCAGGGGCCACGCGGGACATCGGCTCTGCGCTCACCCGCATGTGCATGCGCCACCGCAGCATCGAGACAAAGCTGCGGCAGTTCACCAAGTGAGTGGGCAGGCAGGGGGGAGGGCACCCCATCCTCCCCGCCCGGGCTCTGACCCCCGGCCCCTGCCCGCAGCGCCCTGCTGGAGAGCCTCATCAACCCGCTGCAGGAGCGCATCGAGGACTGGAAGAAGTCTGCCAACCAACTGGACAAGGACCACGCAAAAGGTAGAGCGGGGGTCCTGCCGCGGCGGCCCACCCTTCTCCACAGGAGTCTCCCATTACAGCCTCTCCCCTCACCCCTGCACAGAGTACAAACGGGCCCGGCACGAGATCAAGAAGAAGTCGTCAGACACTCTGAAACTGCAGAAGAAAGCGCGCAAAGGTAGAGCCCTGAGCTGCCCACCGCGGCCCAGGCCCACGGGCCCCCCTCCATAGCGCCCACACCGCCCTCTGGGGTGCCTCAGAGCCTCACTCCGTGCAGAGGAGTCCTGCCCCAGCACAGAACCAGCCATCCAGCCCCTCGGGTGGGACAGAGCGGGAGCTCCCTGCGCCCCAGGCTGCCCAGGCCCTCCCTCTTGGGAGACACAGAGCCTCCTCCTCCACCCCTGGCAAGGTGCAGACCCCTCCCCGCCCCCAGGAGAGACACTGTCCATCCGGCTGTCTTTCACACATTCTTTCTTTCTCTGTCTCTCCTCCTCTCCTCCCACATCCTTCCTGTAGAGCTACTTGGTAAGTCAGCGGCCCTGCCCATCCTCCTCGCCAGGGACCCTGGAAGGAGCCACCAAGGGAGGGGCCTGGGGCACAGTCCCACCCAGGCCGGCGTGCCCGGGGCCTCTGCTCAGCCAGTCCGCCAGGCCCGGGGAGCTGGCTGCTGGGGTGGGGTGGGGAGCCCGGGTCCTGGCTGCTCCGCCACTGTCCGTGCCGGCCACAGCCTTCCCTGTCGCATCCTCCGCTGTCATCCTCTCTCCTCTCTCTCTCTCTCTCTCTTGCTGCTTCTCCGTATCGCTGTTGCTGTCTTTGTGCATCGCTCCTCCCACCCCCCCAGGCTGTGTGGGGCCCACGCTGAGACACCCCTCTCCCCTGCTCCCCAGCCCAGCCCTGGCCCTCCTCACCTCCACACCTGCCAGTGGTCTGGCCTACACCCTGCCCCACTTTGGCCTGCTTCCAGCCCCCTCCCCGCGCCCCACGAGATGAAGGGCATTTCCAGAACAGTGAGGGCATCCTAGGAGGCCTGGGCCTGCAGCTGCCCACCCTAGATCCTGGCTGGCTTTGCAGCTTGGTGTCTTACGCACGCGTGTGCATATGTGTGTGTGTCTGTCTGTCTGTCCTCTCTGCCTGCTCTGGTGGGACCCTCCCCTCCACAAGCCTTACAGTGTGCCCTCCCTCTCCCTGGCCCCCACACTAGTACCCAGACCCCCAGCCAGGGACGCCACCACAGGCATTAGCCATGGATGCAGCAAACCAGGCCAGTGTCCCCAGCGCAGCCTCTCCTCCCAACCCTGCAGGGAAAGGAGACCTGCAGCCGCAGCTGGACAGCGCCCTGCAGGATGTCAATGACATGTACCTGCTGCTGGAGGAGACAGAGAAGCAGGCCGTGCGGCGGGCCCTGATTGAGGAGCGGGGCCGCTTCTGCACCTTCATCACCTTCCTCCAACCTGTGGTGGTGGGTTTCTTGGTGACTCGGGGGGCCCCAGGGTTGTGGGGCGGGCGCAGGGCATGAGACAGGCACAGGGCGGACCTCTTGGTTTCCAAGCTCACTTCTCAGTGGGTGTATTCAGGGGGGGGGAGGGGGCACATGCTCCTGGCATGAAAGCGGTGTCCTAGGACATCGTGTGCTGATTGGACCTGGGCAGTGGGTTGTGCCAGCTACCTGGGCAGTGCCGGCCCAGCCTCTGCCAGCCCCAGGCAGTGCTGGTAGTGGAGAAGGGTGAGAAGGGAGAGGCGCAATGTTCTCCGGGGGGGAGCAGGTGGGCGGCAGGGCCATCCGCTCTCCATTACTGCTTCCCCAGAACGGTGAGCTGACCATGCTGGGCGAGATCACCCACCTGCAGGGCATCATCGACGACCTGGTGGTGCTGACTGCAGAACCGCACAAGCTGCCTCCCGCCAGCGAGCAGGTGCGACCCGCCTGTGGCCACGGGCTAGGGGCAGCAGGGACACAGGGCCAGCCGCTTAGCTGGGGAAGAGGAAAGGGAACAGCACCTTGGGGAGGCACCTAGGAGTAGAAAGCAGATACATTCCGACAGCCGCGGTGGGGTATCCAGAATCACCTGCCCAAGGGATTCTGGGAGACCTGGGACCCGACAGGATCTCAAAGTGAGACAGGTGGGTAGAAGGCTCGGGCGCCTGGGGGCTTGGCCCTTCCGAAGCTGACAGTGCCAGGGTCCCATCCTCCAGACCCCAGCCCTCCTGCCCACCTCTCCTTCTACCTGCTCCCACAGCCCCCCACCGCCAGCTCCCATGGCATTGCTCTCCTCAGGCACGTCCTGTATGCCCAGCATCTGCCAGGCACTCTCCCTAGGGTCTTCTCCCTGAGACCCCCGCAGGGGCCCAGTTCACAAAGTGAGACTCAGAGCGGTTCAGTAATGCTTTGAACCCATGACGTCACGGGTACTTGAGCCTGGCACCTGGCTTCCCTGCCAGTGATCATACATCCTCAGCACCGGCGTCTCCCACGTTCCCCTGGCCCCTGCTTGGTGTCTTCTCCGCACGCCAGTGAGGAGGTTGCAGTAAAAGAAGAAGGCCAGAGGAGATGGGGGTTCATGGGGTCTCCTGGGCATAGTTTACAGTTGGGAAGAGAATGGAGGATGTCTGACCCTACCGGCTCTGAGAAGCCCCAGAAAAGCGACAAGGCTCCCAGGTTCAGGGGTGCCATCAGTGACCGCCTCTCCCCTCCCCCCATTCATGTCCCTATCCAGGTGATCAAAGACCTGAAGGGCTCAGACTACAGCTGGTCCTACCAGACCCCGCCCTCGTCACCCAGCAGCTCCAGTTCCCGGAAGTCCAGCATGTGCAGGTCAGTGCAGGGGAGCATGGGTGGAGGTCCTAGCAGGGACTAGAGAAGCACCCAGCAAAGCTGTACCAGCAGCTACTTTGGAGAGTTCGCATAGCTCCTGAGGTGGTCAAGGATTTCTAAGTGTAGAGGAAAAGCATGTCTGTGGTCCCAAGAGAGGGGTGTGGGCTGGCAGGAAGGAAGGGGCAGTAGCTTCATTTCTGAAATGAATGAGTATATATGTACATATTCATATATAGCCAATGAATCCTTCAGGGAACGCAGCACTCAGAGTCCCGGGTGGTATCCCCAGGGGGAGGGAGGGTCACCTCGGGAAGTGACCCCTGGGCGAAGGCATGGGACAAGGTTATGCCAGGAGCAGTACCTGGCATGTGAGCCGTGGAGAGCCGGGCACCCTGGAGGGGGACACAGTGGGGTGGAGGTCAGTTTAGGGGCCACCTGGAAGGCCGCCTCCCGCTCCACACAGGCCATGACCACAGCTTCCACATCCAAATGCCATGGGAGGGGGATGGCAAACCAGGAAGGCAGGTTAGACACCAGAACTGCGCCCAGACCTAACTTGATGACTCAGTTTCCCTGTCTACCCCAAGGACAACTATTCTACAGGCCAGGCTGAGGCACCGAGGGGGCGGGGCTCCCCGCACCAGGCCCTCCCGTGCAGGCTCACGGGCGGCCCCAGGGCCCGGCTCCTCTCTCCTACCCGGTCTCAGGCCCTCCTCGTCTGACATGATCTTTTCCTTCCTCTGCCCCTCAACTCTCTCCCCTCCCTCGTCTGTCACCCCACCCCACCCCCGTCCACACACACCCCATGTCTCCCTGCCCGGCTCCCTTCACTCCCTTAGTGCCCCCAGCAGCAGTAGCAGTGCCAAGGGTGGCGGAGCCCCATGGCCCGGGGGCGCGCCATCATACTCACCCGGTTCCACCTGTCGCTACCGCAGCCTGGCACAGCCAGCCGCCACCGCCACCACCCGCCTCTCCAGCGTCTCCTCCCACGACTCCGGCTTCGTCTCCCAAGACGCCACCTACTCCAAGCCCCCCTCACCCATGCCTTCAGACATCACCAGCCAGGTGAGGGGGCGCGGGGGCTCGGCAGGAGAAGGGGGGGCGGGGTGCAGCAGCCTCCCGCTGGCTTCAGGCTGCCCGCCTGCAGGGCCCTTCTAGCCATTGAGACCGACTGGTCTCACTCTGTTCTATATTTGTATTAGTGATTTCCATCTCTTTACTTGTAAATGCACCATATCATTATGTTTGAGATGAGTCTCTGATAAACAGCATATGCCAGGGTTTTCTTGCTTTATGCAATCTGGCATCTTTTTTCTTTCTTTTTTTCTTTGATGGTGCTAGGGATTGAACACGGGACCTTATGTGTATTAGGCGAGTGCTCTGCCACTGCTATACCCAGAGCCACAGCCTTTATCTCTTTATCCCTACTTCCATTTTCTCTATTCTCTCCTGCGGGGATTCTAATTAAATATACATCATCTCGTCCTATGCTTTCCTTCCATCCTGTTTTCTCGATGTCTCGTGTGTGTGTTCTTGTGCGCATGCACTCTGTCTCTGTCTGTCTGTCTCTCTGTCTCTGTCTGTCTCTCTCTCTTTCTCTCTTTCTTTTTCTTTCTGTCTCTCTGTCTCTGTCTTTTTTTTTTCTTTTGTCGGTCGCGGGGCCTGAACTCTGGGCCTGGGAGCTGTCCCTCAGCTCAGCTCTTCAGCTGTAGACTAATGCTCTACCACTCGAGCCTCAGCCCCATTCCAGCTTTTTCTGCTTATGTGGTGCTGAGGAATCGAACCGAGGGTCTCTCTCATGCATGCGAAGCAAGCACTCTACCACCGAGCCACCTTCCCAGCTCCCCTCCCCCCTCCCTCCCTCCCTCCCCCCCCTCTCTCTCTTGCCTGCATGTGTGCGCATGCGCCTGCTTGCTGCACTTGCTAGGCAAGAACATTACCATTTGAGCTACTCCACCAGCCTCTTTTTCTTTTTGATGTCGATCCTGGGGCTTTGAACTCAGGGCCTGGGCTCTGTCCCTTGTCCCTGAGTTTTTATGCTTAAGTCTAGGGCTCTAATGATTGAGCTGCAGCTCTAGTTCCAGCTTTTTTTTTTTTTAGGTAGTTAATTGGAGATAACAGTCTCATGGGCTTTCTTCCTTAGGCTGGCTTGGAACCACGCTCTGAGTAGCTAGGATTACAGGCATGAGCCACCAGTGCAGAGCAACCGGCCCTCTTATGTTATTTTCATGGTATGTCCCACTTTATGCCTGTGCTGGCCTGCTCCATGATCCTCCTAATTTTGCATCCCACATTGCAGAGATAGCCTGTGCCACTGGGCCCAGACACAGGTCGAAATGGAGTCTTGTGAACTTTTTGCCTGGACCTGGCCTTGAACTGCTGTCCTCTTAAGTCTCTGCCTCCTAGGTAGCTAGGATTATAGGTTTGAGCCACTATACCTTGTGTCTCTTATTTTCTGTTGTTCATTTCCTTTTCCCCTCCATTGTCCATTCTGGATCTTCTGATCTGAACTTGATATCCTCCTGCCCCAGCCTCCCGAATGCTGACATTTCAGATGTGCATCACCAAGGCTAGCTTGTTTTAAATTTTTATTCTTGAATCATTTTAAACTTACGGAAATGTTCCAAAAAAAAAAAAAGCACACTGAAGTCCCCAATTACCTTCCCCACAGTCTCCCCCATTGTCTGAATTTCGTACTCTGTCATCCAGCTAATTTAACTATTCTTATACCCGGACCACACCATCATAATTACTGTAACTGTGAAAATTCACAGCGTGATAAGGAAAGTTCTCCTGCATTGTTAGACTTCAGAATCACCTGTTTTTTACTCCCATGCATTTCCTTATAAATTTTAAGATCAAGTTGTCAGATTTTACACACACAAAAAAAATTTCTGGGGATTTTAAGTGAGATTGCATGTCTGTCTATTTAGGCTTCAGTTCTTATAATAATTGTTTTGTAGTTTTTCTGTAAATATCTTGCCTCTATTCATTGATCTTTTTCCTAGTTATTTGGGTATTTGTTGGTGCTATTATAAATTACATCCCTATTTGTTAGTACTGGTATTAAAATACAGTTTTTTTTCTGACCTTGTATATATAATCTTCTTAAAATGATGTATTAATTCTGGTAACTTACAGATTTTTTTTTGAGACATGGTGTATATTAGTATATTATCTAGCCTAATTTCAAACTCCTGATCTCAAGTGAGCCTTCTAAGCGTGGGGCTCCAGGCTCTGAACCCAGCTTAATGATTCTATCATCATTGCCTCCTTTCCAGTCTTTTTCTGTTGTTGGATTTGTTTTGTTATTGTTGTTGGTGGTGGTGGTGGTGGTGGTGTTTTCGGTGTGTGTGTATGTGTGTGTTTGTGTGTGCACACACACGTGTGCACCATTCCTACGCTTGAACTCAAGTCCTGCATGCTGTCCTTGAGCATTTTTTTGCCCAAGGCTGGTGCTCTACTACTTGAGCCATTTCTGGCTTTTTGATGGCTAATTGGAATTAAGAGCCTCACAGACTCTCTTGTTGGGGTGACTTACAACCATGATCCTCGGGTCTCAGCTTCCTCATGCTGAGTGGAGTGCTCAGCTTGGCGTGCAGAGGATGACACGTTCCACCTCCCTCCCCCCCACTTCCGGGCATTCCCTTCCTGAGAAAATAGTGCCACTCAGCTGTGTCTCTCTGTCCCTGGTTGGCCATGGGCAGGTCACTGGTGGCAAGGCCTGTGGTGAACCATCAGACTGTGCGGCTGCGGGCCGAGGCAAGGGGGGGCTGTAGGCTCAGGCTGCCACCTGCTGACGGCAGCACTGGGCGCTGTGACCCTAGGAGGAGACACAGGGTGGTGTGACTTAACACAGCACCCACTCAACGCTGACACTAGGACCACAGCTTTTCTCTCCTCTCCTCCCCTCCTGCACTCTCCCCCCCACTGCCCTGCCCGCCTACTTGCCTCTGCACGGCAGAAGTCCTCCAGCTCTGCGTCCTCTGAAGCCTCGGAAACCTGCCAGTCTGTGAGCGAGTGCAGCTCCCCGACCTCGGTCAGTGCTCCTGCCCCCGCCCGCAACTCTCACCTGATGTCCATCCCAAGCCCACCCAGCTGTGCCTGGCCAGAGAGCTGCATGCGCACAGCATCTGCCACCATGAGACAGACACCCAGACCCCATGACATGGGACATCCTGTCCCGCCCCCAGGGCCTGGTGGGACAGAGGGGTCACCACTTCCATAACCCCACGCCCGTGGCCTTGGCCTGTGAGCCAGAAGCCCCTCACAGACCTGGATAGCCTGTGCCTCGGGCACATTGACCCCCCCCACACACACACACGCACGGCATGGCAGCAAGGCCAAGGGTCCCTGACTTGCCTGGCACGCCCTGCAGGACTGGACCAAGGCCGGCCCCCATGAGCAGCCCTTGGGCGCCACCCTACAGCGGAGGAAGGACCGAGTGGAACTCCTCCGGGACACAGAGCCGGGCTCCGCGAGTGGAGGCCCGCTGGGCCCCAGTGGGGAGGAGGCCCCGCGGCCCCGCATGTCCCCTGCCACCATCGCAGCCAAGGTAAGTGGGTGGCGGGTAGCGCCCTGGGCCGCCCCACCAGGCCTGGCCTTCGTGCCCATCTCAGTTGTCAGTGGTCTCCAGCACCAGCTCCAACCACCACAACTCCGTGGGCTACCTGGAGTCTAGGCAGAGGGCGCAGGCCTGGAGTGAGGCTTTATTTCACCTGCGATGTGACCCCCCCGCAGCATGGTGAAGAGGTGTCCCCTGCGGCCAGCGACCTGGCCATGGTGCTGACCCGCGGCCTGAGCCTGGAGCACCAGAAGAGCAGCCGGGACTCCCTGCAGTACTCGAGCGGGTACAGCACGCAGACCACCACGCCCTCGTGCTCCGAGGACACCATCCCCTCCCAAGGTGGGCCTTCGGGCTGCCCTCCCAGGACTGGGGGTGCTCATCCATCCTTCCAAGAGCCCCAGCTCCCTACCATGGACAGCGGGCCCTCACAAGCGGGGCGCTTCCTCTCCAGGTCCACTCTGGGCAGATGGGGCTCAAGCTGGGTGGGGGGGCCTCTGGGCCCTGGACTCACTGCGCTCTGTGTCCCCAGGCTCAGACTACGATTGCTACTCCGTGAACGGGGATGCGGACAGCGAGGGCCCCCCCGAGTTCGACAAGTCATCCACCATCCCTCGCAACAGCAACATTGCCCAGAACTACCGGCGCCTCATCCAGACCAAGCGTCCAGCCTCCACCGCCGGGCTGCCCACCGCCGGGCTGCCCACCGCCTCCGGGCTGCCCTCGGGCGCGCCCCCTGGCGTAGCCACCATCCGCCGCACGCCCTCCACCAAGCCCACCGTGCGCCGCGCCCTGTCCAGCGCTGGCCCCATCCCCATCCGGCCGCCGATCGTCCCCGTGAAGACCCCCACGGTCCCCGACTCCCCTGGCTATGCAGGGCCCACGCGGGCAGGCAGCGAGGAGTGTGTCTTTTACACAGATGAGGCGGCCTCACCCCTGGCGCCGGACCTCGCCAAGGCCTCCCCCAAGCGCCTCAGCCTGCCCACGGCCTGGGGCAGCCCGTCCCCGGATGCCGCCAGCTACCCGGGGGTGGGATCTGGGCTGGCCGCCGAGGACGACGAGCAGCAGCTGGCCGCCAACCGGCACAGCCTGGTGGAAAAGCTCGGGGAGCTGGTGGCCGGTGCCCACGCCCTGGGCGAAGGTCAGTTCCCCTTCCCCACAGCCCTGTCAGCCACCCCGGCCGAGGAGACGCCCACCCCGCCCCCTGCTGCCACCAGCGACCCCCCGGCCGAAGACATGCTGGTGGCCATCCGCCGAGGGGTCCGGCTGCGCAGGACCGTCACCAACGACAGGTCGGCACCCCGCATCTTATGATGGCGCCACCCTCCCCCACCCTGTGTGGCCCTGATGCGAGCAAGTGGCCTGGTCTGTGACAGCGGCCACTCGGAGCCATAGCACAGCCCGGAGTGGAGTCCACGCCAGGGACGAGGCAAAGCCACTCCAACCCAGGCTGGACGCGACGTCCTTCACACACCTCGCCAGGGTGGAGCCTGCGGGCCTTTAACTGGTTTTAGAGCCTGTTTTATACTTTCCCTGCCTAGTCTGTTCCTCCTCTTCCTCCCTGCAGACCCTGCCTCATGGAAACCCTGAGCCCATGAGCAAGGGCTAAGCCAGCCTTCCTCAGCCTCCCCAGTCCCGCCTGGCCTGGGGTCCCCAGAGCCACGGAGCCCCAGATCCTTGAATGCTGGCTCCCCACCCCTTCCCTGCCTGAGCCCCCGGCCTCCATTTCCCTTCTCCCTCATCCCTGCCTCTCCAAGCTCCTCATCACGTGGGGGACAGGGTGGCTGGGGAGCGGCTGGTCCCCCCCCACAAGGGACTAAGTCTAATTGGTGACTCGGGTTAGGGGAACAGGTTGGTTTTAGGACAGGCTCCCCTGTGGGGAAGGGAGCGGAGAGGCCCAAAAGAGGGATCGTGGGGGAGGAAATGTAGGGGTGCGTCGGGAAGGTTTGAGGGACCCTCCAGCTTTCCTGCCCTGTAAAGTGCCAGGCAGAGCACAAAGAAGAACCTAGAAGGGCATGGGGCCACAGGGCCAGCCGCCATGCCGAGGGGCTGTTCCGGAAGGCCCATTGTCTGGGTACACTGAGACCTTCACTGGTGGCATTTGGAGGCTGGAGCAGGAAAGGATGTGGGGGGGTGTAGGGGGGTAGGGGGGAGTATTTTATGACCATAATAAAATGGAACTGACCCCGGACAAGGACTGGGGGGGGCGGGTAAGCCGGTGGAACAGGGTGTGTGTCTTTGAGTGCCTGAGAGACAGATGGAGGCCTTCTGGGCCTGTGGCAGGAGGAGAAGGATGGGATTGGACCCCCCAAAGCCGGGGGGCCACCCTTGTTCCCTCCAACGTCTTGAGTGTAGTCAGGAGACTGGGCAGGGCGGGGCCGGGGCTGCCCGCCCGTGTCTGGCACTGAGTCCGGGGAGATTGGCTTGGACTCTGTTGCCAGAGGAGATGCCACCCTGCAGTGGTTCCCACTGCGGGCCTGGCGCTGGCTGGCAGGGGAGGGGGGAGGGGGGCTGCCTCCCACTCCACGCCCCCGAGTCCCGCCAAACCTGAGCAGGTCAAAGCATGTGAGCCTAGGGCAAGAGGAGGGAGTGTGCGGCGGCCACAGGGTAGCGAGGAAGCGGCGGGACTCCGGGGGCTGTGACCCTGGGGTCTGGAGAGCGGCTTGCCTTGGTCTGGATGGAGTGCGTCCGGGCTGGTCCAGGCTTGAGCTCCCGGGCGCTCATGTGCCATAAACTGGGACGTTGGCAGGCCAGCCAGGTGCATGCGACGTCCCAGAGATTCCTTTGCGGAAGGCGTTCCCCCCACCACCACGCAGGGCTCCCCAGGCTGCTAGAGAGCGGGGCGCAGCACATCTGTAGGTCTGAGAACCGCTCAGCTGAGTGCCTGGCCCACCAGACTCAGAAGGTACCAGAACCCTCAGATGTGGGGGCCAGAGGAGCAGGTGGTTAGTTTGGGGATCCCGGGGGTGGATTTTCAGCTGCACTTTGCCTACCCCAGGGCCATGGAGGGGGGGGGTCCCCAGGAGGGCTGATGGAGAACTGAGACACGGGATGTGTGAGGGGTGGCAGGGGTGTGGCTGGGCCTGGCGGGGGGGGGGTCCCCCCCACAGGAGAGAACTCACTGCTTTTGGCTCCTGCTGGGAAGGGAGGCTGGGCTGGGGCCCCCCGCCCCCCCCAAGTCTGTACATACTCCACCCACCCCTGCTCCCCTGTCGTGACCACCTCGTCCCCCACCCCCTCGGGATCCGAGCCGCCATCCCACATCTCACAGACTTTGGTTTGGGGGAACTTATTTACATTCATTTTATTTTTCGTTTTGTACAGAGAAATATTCTTTTCAGAAGCGTCTTTTGACTGAAGTAACTTTTCTGGTGCTGTTGTTAACTTGTTCCTTTTTTTTTTTTAATTTATTTTCCCACCCCAAGGCCTCTCTCCTTGGTTCCTACTTACCCTTTCTCCCTCACCCCTACCCCCAGTCCTCCCTCCCCCTCCCCCCTTCTCCCTCCATCCCATCTGGACCATTTTGTTTCTTTTCTTTCTGTCAGTTTCTGGACAAATTCTCCTCTTTCCCCCACCCCCACCCCACCCCTCACGTCATCCTTCCCTCGATTTAAATAGTCACTGCTACAAGTAACAAATGCACTGTGAAGATTCCAGTATTAATAAAGTGGTACTGTAGTTAACACGCCTCCGCCTGACTTCCCTGGGCCGTGGCTCCCGCCCCGTCCTGCCCCTGCACCCCACACCCAGGCAGGCCTCACAGAGGCACTGGACCCGAGTCTCTTGAACTGCCCTCCCCCTTGTTTTTTCTGGGGACAGCTAGAAGGAAAGAGGATCCCAGACACCCCTCCGACCTGCTGGGGTCCACAGGAGGGCAGGCCTAGAAGGAACTCCCTTCTCGATGCCCCTGGGTGAGGCTCCAGACCCAGCCCTGGGCTGGGTCAACCTTTCTACCTGTCTTCCCATGGCCTGGGCCGGCTGTCCATCCCTCCCAAGCTCACCTTTGCAAAGGCAAAGCAAACCAAACCAAACCAAACAAGTGGGCATTTAATAGAAAAATAAAAAGAAGTGGAAACGCATTAGTGTGGCAAGATGTGGCATTTGGCTCTGCCCGCAGCCCAGCACCCCATACTCAGCCCAGCTGGAACGCCTCGGTGGTCCCCATCCCTGTCCGCCCACCTGAGGAATGAAACAGCCTCAAGGGAGGTGGGGAGCTGGGCTCAGAGGCACCCCCTTTCCTAGGGGCCTCCCCACCGCCGCCTCACGACAGCTCAGGCGGCCCAGCTCCTGGGACTCATCCATTGGCCCTTCCAGAGCCAACCTCCAGACTGCTCAGGGCAAGAAGCTCAGCCCTGTGCCCTGAATCTAGGGCCTAGCGCTCAGGCCTGGGGACAGGGGCAGGGAGGTGAGGGGTGGCCGGGGCGGCGGGTACACCTGGGTGGCTGCACACTGCAGGGGGGGCTCTGGCCCATGGCGCTGAGGACTCTGCACCTCACAGTCCTGCCATCTTAGGATGGAGCTTTGTTTGCCTGCAAGAACCGGAGAGACACATGAGACTGCAGGAGAAGTCAGGCCTGCCCACCTCCACCCCACCCCACCCCAGCAGCATTTCTTAACACCCTCCCCCCCCCCCACCATGCTCAGGGTCCACCGCAGCTTCCAGAAGGGCCTGGCACTGTGGGCAGGGGCAGAGGACATGTTAACACAGGCCCAGAAGCCCCGGCACTCCTTACAGCAAGAGCAGTACAGAAGCTCCATGACCCGGAAGCAGTTGTCCAGCAAGGCTTTGGGCCGCACCAGTTTCAGACTCAGACCTGGAGTACTCAGAAGGGATAACACTGCTTCTACCTGCGGACTGATCTCCACATCCTGTGAGGGAAGAAAGGTCAGGACCTGTAAAAAAAAAAGAGGCCACCCCGCCTAGAGCTGCCCCAGATCACGGAAGGACAAGATTTCCTGTGACCCAGTCATTGCCCTGAACCCAAGTACAACACAGGGACGTCTATTTCTCCATCACTGGAAAAACCACCACAGGGCACAGGCCTTGGGGGCCTCCTTACTATTCTAGCATGTACATGGCTGCCCACTGCTGGCAGGAGCCAGCCCCCTGATCAGGGAAAACTCCATCATCTGCAAGGGACAAGAGAAGAGCCTCGCGAGAGACACTGAGCTGCAAATCACGTAGGCAGGGCCTGGGGTTTGGCCCCAAGCTCTAATGGCTTCTCAATGCCTAGCAAAAGGGAGCACATGGAAGCGAGTTGGGCATCAGAGGCCTATAGATAGGGGAAAGCAGAGGCATCATGAGAAATACGGGGCCTGGCTGGGGACAACCTTCCTGAAGGCTGTAGCAGCCTAGGAAACACATCTGTGCTGACTCGTGACCCCCATAACCCCTGAACTCCACAGCTCAACAGTACTCTGCAGTACCAGTGCACAGCTCTATTTGGATGTAGGGCAGATGTAATGAAGAATTACAGAGTGACCTCTTTCTGGATTTAAGGCAGATCCTGGAGAGAGAGAGAGAGAGTGTGTGTGTGTGTGTGTGTGTGCTGAGGCTTTAACTTAGAACCTGGACTCTATCCCTGAGCTTTTTTGGCTGAAGGCTAATGCTCTACCACTTGGGTCACAGCTCAACTTCCGGCTGTTTGGTGGTAAATGAGAGAAAAGTCTCCTGGACTTTCCTGCACAGGCTGGCTTTGAACCAGGCTGGTGACCCTCAGAGCTCAGCCTCTTCAGTAGCTAGGATTACAGGTACAAGCCTTCTCCTTCCTTAGGCTCCTCTTCCCACACTCTCTCCCCACCTTAGACATGCCAGAACTTTCCATGCACTCCCCTCTTCCCGCCGCAGCCACACCCTGGCCACCCCTGTGGGACCCACACACTCACTCGGCCGCGCAGCTCACCGTGAGGCCCTCCTGGACGTTCACCAGCAGTGTCTGCACCTCCTGCAGGTACTTCCAGGATGGGTGGCCCTCCAGCAGCACGCTTTGCACGGACTCCGTGGCGTTGAGACTCACCAAGACCCACAGATAGCGCAGCTCACGCGCACTCACCCGGGCCTTCTGCTGCAGAGACAGGAGAAGTCAATGGAACCCCCAACTGCAGGCCTCTGGGCTGTGATCGCCTCCCCCCTGGGATCTGCCCCTCCAAAGGAACAACCTGGAGTCTGATTGGGGGGGGCAGGCTTGATTGAGGGGTTGACGAAAGATGCGTGCATGGCATCACCACCTGCCAAGACCCACATGGCCTCTTAGGGGGTTCACGGGCCCAGTCCCAGGGGATCCTCACCAGCCTGGTGATGTTGGCAACTCTGAGCACCCCCTCATAAGGCACGCTGATCCTGTAGTTGATGGGGAAGTACTGTTTCTAGAAAGATACAGAAACAAACCAGGAAATAATAAGCAGAAACGTCTTAGACAGAAGCTGACACAGGAGAGAGGCAAGCAAGGCCCAGCCCCACAGGGCGAGAGGCTCCTCTAGCGAGACGTAGCTCAGGTTTCCCATGAGACTAACGACACCTCGCTTTGCTCTGAGAGGCAGGGCGGGACGAAGCAAACACGCCGTTCCTATGAACGCAGAGCTTTGGGGAGGAAAGACCTATGGCATTTAGGAAGGCATTATTTGAGGAATGAGGGAGATGTTCTAGAAATATCTACAAGTGATGATTGCACAATTCTATGAACACACCAAACACAAGTGAGTGGAACAATTTAAATGGGTTGAATAGTAGGAGAACTGTATGTCAGTAAGGCTGTTGTTGAAAAACACGTATAGAGCCAGGCATGGTGGTGCACACCTATAATCCCAGCACTTGGAAGGTGGAAGCAGGAAGATTGTGAGTCCAGGGCCAGCTCGGGCGACACACAAAAAAATTGTGTCTCAAAAATCAAATAAGTGGGGCTGGGAAGGTGGCTCAGTGGTAGAGCGCTTGCCTTGCATGCAGGAGGCCCTGGGTTCAATTCTGCAGCACCACATAAGCAGAAAAAGCCAGAAGTGGAGCTGTGGCTCAAGTGATAAAATGCCAGCTTTCAGCAAAAGCAGCTCAGGGACAATACCCAGGCCCTGAGTTCAAGCCCCAAGACCAGTAAGAATAAAGAAAAGAAACCAAAACATTTCAATTTGTAGGTCTTTTTCTCCCCTGCCTAGGGGTCCCCGAAGGACTTCCTGCAATCCCTTCCTGGGCCATAGGTTGGGTGCCAAGTTGGGGTGGGCTCAAATGTCAGGCTGAGGAGAGGTGGGGCCCTGGGAGATGATGGAGGGGCATGGGAAGGGGGCAGTAAGTGCAAGCCAAGTACGTCAATCACGTGACAGAGAAAGATGCAGAAGGAAGCTATGGTAACCTTGGGGCTAACCCAGGCCCAAGGAGGGGCCCTGACTGTCCAGAACCCTGTGCGGGGTGAGCCACGGCAGGTACCCATGAGCTTACCATGTACTGAAGTCGGTTCTTGTACTGAAGCTTGACCCGCAGGTAGCCGGTAATATCACACTCCTTGTTCTGAGCCAAGGGCCACACCTCCAAACTCTCGTTCCCCAAGGCCATGCCAAAGAGGATCCCAAGATCTGTGGACCACACCCAAAGAGACCCCATGAGCACCAGGAACGGCACCCACATCTCCCTACATTCTGCATACAGAATGTCATCCAAGCGGGGCGCCTGTAGCTCATGTCTGTAATCCTAGCTACTCAGGAGGCTGAGATCTGAGGATCACAGTTCAAAGCCAACCTGGGCAGGAAAGTTCTTAAGACTCTGACCTCCAAATAACCACCAAAATGCCAGAAGCGGAACCGTGGTTCAGGTGGTAGAGCGCTAGCCTTGAGCACAAAAGTTCAGAGACTGCGCCTAGGTCCTGAGTTTGAGCCCCAGGAGGGCACAGATTAAAACATAATTTATAAATGACCAGGGTGACCCAAGAGACTTTCTTTCCTGCTCTACTGAAATGTGCCATTCCTCTCTATTAAATGTACGGGTGAGTCTGAGGCACTTCACAAATGCTGTTATCTTTTAAAACAGTACCAGTCTTTGCCACTAGAGGGCACTATGGTCTGAAAACAACCTTTGTTCCACATACTTGAACAGCAAAATCTAGAGGAAAATGTGGAACCAGGCACTGGTAGCTCTCACCTGTAATTCTAGATACTCAGGAGGCTGCTGAGGATAGTGGCTCAAAGACAGCCAGGGCAGGAAAGTCCATAAGACTCCTTCTCAAATTAAGCACCAAAAAATCCAGACATGGAGTGTGGCTCAAGTGGTAGAGCCCTGAGCCCAAAAGATCAGGGACAGCACTCAGGCCCTAAGTTCAAGCCCTAGGACTACCAAAAAGAAATGTTAAGAGTGTAGGGGGACTGGGAGTGTGGCTTAGTGGTAGAGTGCTTGCCTAGCATGCATGAAGCCCTGGGTTCAATTCCTTAGTACCACATAAACAGAAAAGCTGGAAGTAGCTCTTTCGCTCATGTGGAAGAGTACTAGCCATGAGCAAAAAGCTTAGGGCCAGTGCCTAGGCCCAGAGTTTAAGCCCCACACTGGAAAAAAAAAGATGAATAGGGGTTTAACGGGTCAGAGAAGAAATGAAACAGAAAGTGTGTATCCAAAACACCAGCCTCATGAAAACATTTTCATCTAGCAAAAGGGAAATGCAAAGGTTAGTGTGGATGTGTTCTCTTTTAATGATCTGCCAAAACAATCAGACAGAGGTGCTCTCATTCTGTTAAGAATAGATTTAGGGCTGGGAAGGTGGCTCAGTGGTAGAGTGCTTGCCTTGCATGCATGAGGCCCTGGGTTCAATTCGTCAGCACCACATAAGCAGAAAAAGCCGGAAGTGGCGCTGTGGCTCAAATGATAGAGCACTAGCCTTAAACTGAAGAGCTGAGGGACAGTGCCCAGGCCCAGAGTTCAGGCCCCACAACCAAAAGAAAAAGAAAAAAAAGAAAGAACAGATTTAATCAAGTCCACACCCTCTGACCCACTAAATTCAAAAAGTTGGAAAAACAAGACAGACATAAACCAAAAGATTTATGAACACATATTGCAACATTATTTTATGATAGTGACAATTTGTAAAAGGCCAAGACATTCCACAATAATAAATGTAGCCGCTGGGCACTGGTAGCTCATGCCTATAATCCTAGCTACTTGGGAGGCTGCAATCAGAAGGATTGCTATTTGAGGCCATCCTGGTACTGCGGGTGAGACTCCTTCTTAGCCAATAGTTGGGCCTGTGCCTGTCATCCTATCTGCATAGGAAGCTGAGATCATGAGATTGGGGTTCCAGACCAGCCCAGGTAGAAAAGACTACGACATTTCCATCTCAGTGGAAAGAAACTGGGCATGGTCATGGTAGTACATGCCTGTCATCCCAGCTACAATATGAAGTCTAAATTAGGCAGATGGGGAAATCCAGACATGCACCTGAGCAGGAAGCGAGACCCTATCTCAAAAATAACCAGCACACCAGGTGCTGGTGGCTCACACCTGTAATCTTAGCTTCTTAGCAGGCTGTGATCTGAAGATATGGTTCAAAGCCAGTCCAGGCAGGAAACTCTGTTTCCAATTAACCACCAGAAAACCAGAAGTGGCTCAGTGGCTCAAGTGGTAGAGCGCTAGCCTTGAGCTGAATTGCTGAGGGACAGCACCCAGGCCCAGAGTTCAAGCCCCACCACCGACAAAAAAAATAATAATTAGCACTTAGGTGGGATAACGTACATATGTCATCCCATGCACAAATAGGAGGATGAAAGTCCAGGCCAGCTCTTGCATAAAACAAGACCCCGTCTTGAAAAAACCTACCAAAAGCAAAGTGACCCAAGGGGTAGAGTGCCTGCTTAGCAAACGCAAGAAAAGTCCATGAGATTCTTATCTCCAAGTAGTCACAGAAAAAGCCAGAAGTGGGGCTGTGGCTCAAGTGGTAGAGCATTCGCCTTGAGTACAAAGAGGCTCAGGGATAGAGCCCAGGCCCTAAGTTCAAGCCCAGGACCATAAATACATACATACATACATACATAAATACATACATAGTCACTAAGCTCATCTTATATCAGCACATAAGCTATCATAAATATTCTCTGACAGAAAGAAAGAGAGAAAGAAAGAGAGAAAGAGAGAGAGAAAGAGAGAAAGAAAGAAAAAAGGAAGGAAAGAAAAAAGGAAGGAAAGAAAGAAAGAAAAGGAGCCAGGGGCTGCTGGCTCATTCCTATAACCCTAGCTACTCAGGAGGCCGAGATCTAAGGATCTCAGTTTGAAGCCAGCCCAGGCAGGAAACTCTAAGATTATCTCCAACAAACTAGTCAAAAAAGCCAGAAGTGGCTCTGGGGCTCAAGTGGTAGAGCTCTTGCCTTGAGCAAAAGAAGCTCAAGGAGGGGCTGGGAACGTGGCTCATTGGTAGAGCGCTTGCCTTGCATGCATGAGGCCCTGGGTTCGATTCCTCAGCACCACATAAGCA